GTGGTCGCCGATTTCATTGTGGCCATGAAAGGAGTTACAACCCAAAAGGAAGAGGATCCTACACATGGAATCGACCTGATCGGGTAAAGGGGAAAGAAACGCAAGAGAAACCTACTCGTAAAAATGAGAACATTTGTTACAGATGTGGATCGAAGGGACATTAGTCTCAAGTGTGTCATACTCTTCAGCATCTATGTAAGTTGTACCAAGAGACAATCAAAGGCAAGGCTAAGGAAGTGAATCTTAATGAACACTTTGAGGGTACAACTTCAACATACCTTGAATCTTCTGATTTCATCAGCGATTTCGACAATGCTACACCTTGAGATAATTAAATTACTTGTAGTGATCAAGTTCAATAATACCTAAAGATGCCATAAAATACTATTTTAGTTATGAATTTTTATTTCAGAATAATATTGTTTTTCAAACAACTAATGTATAATTATTGTCTAATGAAAATTTTATTGTGTGCTTATAATAAATGCATAATTATATAAATATTTTGCTATGAATTTTAATTTTCTTTATTAATATTGTTTATGCTTTTCATAATTAGATAAAAATGCAAACGGAAAAAATATCAAGTAAATTGGTAGATAAATTTGCATTCCAGATAATGGTACAACACACACTATACTAAAAGATAAGAGATTTCTCAAACTTCAAGTCTGCAAAATTGACTGTCAACACAATATCAGGTCCAACAGACTTAATCAAAGGAATTGGCAGCAAATTTTATGTTGCCTAATGGAACAAAGTTTTCCATAAACAATGCTTTATATTCTCCAAATTCTAAGAGAAATTTGTTGAGTTTCAAAGATATATACCTTCAAGGTTATGACACTCAGTCTGCAACTGAGAATGGAAAGAAATGTATATATATAACTTCTGAAAAATCAGACAAAATGTATTGGAAAACTTTCCAGAACTTCCTTCTGGATTACACCATACATATATTGACGCCATAGAATCACATCTTGTGATCAAAAGAAATTCAGAAGATGTCATATTATGGCATGACCTTCTCGGTCATCCAGGTACTACTATGATACAAAAAATCATTGAAAGATGACATGGCCATTCAATGAAAACTCAAGATATATATCAAAGTAAAAAATGACATGTGCTGCATGTGCTCTTGGAAAATTAATCACAACGCCATCACCAACGAAAATTGATAAAGAATCACCAAAATTCTTGCAACGAATCCAAGGTGATATTTGTAGACCAATACATCCACCATGTGGACCATTCCACTATTTTATGGTATAAATAGATGCATCAAACAGATGGTCACATGTTTGTTTGTTATCATCTCGTAATATGGCATTTGCGAGATTTCTAACTCAGATAATAAAATTAAGAGCTGAGTTCTCTGATTACCCAATTAAGAGGTTAGATTAGATAACGCTGGTGAATTCACATCCCAAGCATTTAATGATTATTGCATGGTATTGGGGATCGAAGTAGAGCATTTAGTTGCTCATGTTCATACACAAAATGGTTTGGCAGAATCATTAATCAAAAGGCTGCAATTGATTGCAAGGCCATTGATCATGAGATCAAAACTTTCAACCTATGTATGGGGACATGCTATTTTGCATACAGGAGCACTCATTCGGATAAGACCAGCTGCATATCATAGATATTCTCCATTACAGTTAGCATTTGGACGAGAATCAAATATCTCCCATCTAAAAATCTTTGGTTGTGATGTTTATGTTCCAGTGGCACCACCACAACGTACAAAGATGGAACCACAAAGACTGTTAGGAATATATCTTGGAAATGATTCTCCATCAATAATAAGATATCTAGAACCACAAACTGGTGATGTCTTTACGGCACGATTTGGCGATTGTCATTTTAATGAGAAAGAATTCACGATTCTAGAGGGAGTCAATAAACAAGTAGAAAAAAAATCAAATGGAGTGTTCCATATTTATTACATCTTGATCCTCTTACGAAACAGTCAGAACTAGAAGTTCGACGTATGATGCATTTACAAAATATAGCAAATCAACTGCCTGATGCATTTTCTGATACCAAATTGGTAACCAAATCACATATTCCTGCTGCAAATACTTCTACTCGTATTGAAATACCACAAATAGGTAAAACGGCAGTAGATACACATGAATCAGGAGCGCATTTGAAACGCGGTAGACCCATTGGCTCAAAGGATAAAAATCCTAGAAAAAAAAGGAAGCTGAAAAGCATGATCCTCCCAAAATCACAGAAAAAAATTTTAAAGTAGAGAACAATGAATCTAATGACAATATAGAGCATCATGAATCTGAAGAAAATCACGAGATTTCTATCAATTACGTCCATAATAGAAAAATATGGAAACGAAATGAGATGGATGACATTGATGATGTTTTCTCATACCTTTTATCAAAGGAAACAGATGAAGAAAACGAAGATCCAAAGCCAAAGTCGTATATGAATGCCAAAAGAGGCATGACTAGATAAAATGGAAAGATGCAATTCAAGTTGAACTAAATTCGCTTAATAAACAAAATGTATTTGGACCCATCGTACTCACACCCAAAGATGTGAAACCCGTTGGATACAAATGGGTATTTGTCCGAAAAAGAAATGAGAAAAATGAGATTACAAGATACAAAGCTCGTCTAGAGGCCCAATGTTTCTCTCAAAGACCTGGAATTGATTCTGAGGGAACATATTCTCTTGTTATGGATGCAATCACATTTAGATTCCTAATGAGCTCAGCAGCAAGTGCAAATTTAGAAATGCGTCTCATGGATGTTGTTACGGCATACTTGTATGGATCATTAGATACTGATATTTATATGGGAATATCAGATGGGTTTAAAATACCAGAAGCTCTAAGTTCCAAACCTAAAGAGTTATGTGCAATAAAATTGAAAAGATCAAGGGTTAAAGTAGTCTGGACGTATGTGGTATAATCGTCTCAGTGAGCATTTAACAAAAGAATAACATGTGAATGATAACCGCTGTATATGTTGATGATCTTAATATTATTGGAACTCAGAAGGGAATACAAAAGACATCAGGATATCTGAAAGGAGAATTTGAGATGAAAGATCTTGGACATACAAAATATTGTCTTGGTCTACAAATTGAGCATTATCAAAATGGTATATTTGTGCATCAATCCACATATACTAAAAGAGTATTAAAACGCTTTAACATGGATAAATCAACTCCTCTTAGCACTCTAATGGTTGTTAGATCACTTAGTGTTGAAAATGATTCATTTCGACCACCTGCGGAAAATGAAGAAATACTTGGTCCTGAAGTACCATATCTAAGTGCAATTGGAGCGCTGATGTACCTTGCTAATTGTACAAGGCCTGATATATCATTCACTGTTAATGTCTTGGCAAGATTCAGCTCATCTCCCACACGAAGACATTGGAATGGAATTAAACATGTCTTTCGTTATCTCCGAGGGACCATTGATTTAGGCTTATTTTATTTTAAACATTCAAATCGTCAAATGATTGGTTTTGCAGATGCAAGATATCTTTCAGATCCACACAATGCTCAATCGCAAACATGATACGTTTTCACGATTGGAGGCACTGCTATATCTTGACGTTCTCAGAAATAGACGCTCGTGGCTACCTCTTCAAATCATGCTAAGATTATCGCATTTCATGAAGCAAATAGGGAATGTGTATGGCTTAGATCAATAAGCTGACACATATGTTCAAGCAGTGGGATTGACATAAATATGGAGCCAACTGTTCTATATGAAGATAATGCAGCATGTGTTGCTCAAACGAAGGAAGGATATATCAAAAGCGATTGAACCAAACACATACCTCCGAAGTTCTTCTCATACACTCAAGATCTCGAGAAGAATAAAGAAATCGTAGTAAAATATGTCCGATTATGTGACAATGCTGCAGACCTCTTCACAAAATCACTTCCTACCTCGACATTCAGAAAACATGTATCCATAACATTGGAATGCATCACCAGAAGGATCTGTGACTGCTCATTCGAGGGGGGAGCTTATATGGTTGTATTCTTTTTACCTTACTATGGTTTTTCCTACTAGATTTTTCAAGAAAGGTTTTTAACGAGACAACAAAGACATCAAACAAAATGCGATAGTGACGCTAGTTTCCAAGGAAGAGTGTTGTAAACGTGACAAAAATTATATGTCAACAAAAGAAGCAGCGATCATTGAACGATCGTGTCAAATCAATTGTGTGGAGCCCATCAACATAATGTGTGCACAGTAACTTTTACTTTTTACATCTATATAAACCGAATTCTTTCGATTGAGAACACACATTTACTTCTTTTCTTCCTCCTTATATATGATTTCTCTCTGTAATAATTTACTTATATAAATATAATTTTTTCTATGGGTATAAATTTCACACTTATGCAAATTTTGAGATACTATAAAATTATATAAAATTATAAGTTATTTTATAACAGTTGTCTGTTTTTCTTTTCCTTTAAAATGATTTCTTCACAGTGGTTATTTTGGGTAAAATCACAAAAAAATACCCTGAGAAATGCCCTCAAGTTTTTTGTAATGTTTTTCTGTCCGTTGAGTGATTGCAGAAGCGAGAGAAAGTATTGAGAGAGAGAGAGTGTGTGTCAAGAAAGTCTTCTCCTTCACACCTTTCGTTTTCTCGAATATCTTCTCTTTAGTATGATGGTTGAAGAATCTTGGCTTTGACAACTCATTCACAGCCCTCTTCTAAGGAAGGTCCGTTTTGCTTTTTGCATCCTCATCATTCTCTCTCTCTTTTTCTCTCTCTATCCGTCCTCTGTTTGTTTCTCTCCATTAAGAAGCTTTCGTCTTCAAGCTTAAGAAAGACAACTTCTTTTTTTTTTGGGTCTTGTGTTTGATGGGATTGTGTAAAAACGGAAACTTGACTATCTGGGTCTTTCCAATTTTGGTTCCTAGGGTTGATTAGGGTCCTGGAAGAAAAAAAATAGGGTTTTATTTGGTATATTTAGGGTTATTTAGCTTAACTTAAGACATGGAGGAGATTGAAGGAACCAACAGAGCAGCTGTGGAGAGTTGTCATAGAGTTCTTAACCTCTTATGCAGCAGACCACATCAACAAGATCATCTGTACGACATGAGTTTATTGTCTGAAACTAGAGAAGTTGTGTTTGGGTTCAAGAGAGTGAGGAATCTGTTAAGCAGCAGTGGTGTGGGTCATGCCAGGTTTAGAAGAGCCAAGATACCTCACACCCATTTGTCTCAAACCATCTTCCTTGATCCTTGTCTCCAACCAACAGAACCTCAGAAAACACCGGTGATGTTCCGGTCTGGTTGCCATGAATTGAGTTTGGGACCCACTGATTCTCTCACTTTAGGGACCCGGCCTTTCAGTTTAAACTCAAATGCCAAAGCTCCTCTCCTTCAGCTTAACCAGCAAGCAGTGCCTTGTTCGAATTATCTGAATATGTTTCCAGAACATCAAAAGTTACATGAACTGTTACAGTCTCACCATCATCATCAGCAGCAGCAGCAGAGACATCAAGCTGAGATGATGCTTAGGAAATGCAACAGCGGGATAAGCTTGAGCTTTGATAACTCGAGTTGTACTCCAACCATGTCATCCACTAGGTCCTTTATTTCATCGCTTAGCGTAGATGGTAGCGTTCTCGAAGGAAATAACTCCTTCCATTTGGTAGGGGCTCCGAGTTCAACGGATCAGAGTTCACAACACTCTAAGAGAAAGTGCGGGAGCTCTAGCAGATGCCACTGCTCTAAGAAGAGGTCAGTTGCATGTCTTTTTGTATTTCATTTCACAACCCTATGATGAAGATTGTGCGTTAAAGCTTGTTGGAAATTGATAGGAAACATCGGGTTAGGAGATCGATTAGAGTGCCTGCTATAAGTAACAAGGTTGCAGATATCCCTCCTGATGATTATTCGTGGCGGAAATATGGTCAGAAACCCATCAAGGGCTCTCCCTATCCCAGGTTTACACTTCTTGATCACTTTCTTTTGATTGATGAACTTTTTAAAAAAAAAATTGATGCACTTGTGAAGATGATATCAAATGCAAAGACCATCGTTTGTTTTGATGAGTTGAGATATTTTCAAATGGACTATGAGTCTTTATAAAAGAAATTGTGCGTGTGCAGGGGATACTACAAATGCAGTAGCATGAGAGGTTGTCCAGCGAGGAAGCACGTTGAGAGATGTTTGGAAGATCCAGCGATGCTTATTGTTACTTATGAAGCTGAGCATAACCATCCCAAATTGCCATCTCAAACCGTAACAACTTAACATTCATGTTATCATTTTGTGTTCACTTAACATTCATGTTATCATTTTGTGTTCTCTCCTCTGTTAGTTATGATGATGGACCTTGAATTTTTACTCCAATATTGTGTGATAGAGTTTACTGCAGTTGTTGGTTTTGGGTTAATGGGTAAATGTAGGACTTGTCAAAGACTCATTTGTTTCTCAAGTGTATTGCCTTTAATGATTTGAAGTTCTGTTCTCAATCTCATTTAAACAATAATTAAAACAAATTTTCTATTTCATTATTATTTTTTAGTTTTCTATTTTAATGCAAATTTACAAATAATTTTAATATATATTTTTATTTATGAACAAATAATATATATAAGTTAATGAGATTTTTTTTTTACGTTGTACTTATATTTAGTTTATTTTTATTAATACTATATATGCATTTATATTGTAATGGTGATATATGATTATTATTTATAAAATATTTCTAAAGTATTTATAAAATAAATATTTATACATCTCTTATATAATAAAACCATATTTAGCTATTTCTAATGAATGTGCTACCGCAAGACATGCACTAGTGATAGAAGTTGCACATGTTAACGTCAAGACTCAAGTGATAGCATTAATAAGTTTATTTTTTATTAATGCTATATATACATATATATTGTAATGGTGATATATGATTTCTTAGTTATAAAATATTTCAAATTTTTTGCCAAAATAAATAAATATTTATACATAAATTTTATTTTTAGTGATATTATAAAAGTTATTAGCTAATAATATATTTTTAAAACTTTTCAAAAAGATAAAAGTATCTAAAAAATTTACATGTCATAATTAAGTTGATGTCATGTTATTTTTTAAAGCCATGTCCTCAATTTCTGGTGAAAATGAATGGTGTACTGACATTGTCAAATCACTTCTCAAATAATAACTAGATGATAAGCTCATGTAAAGAGAACTATTAACTTTATTAGGTCCAAAGTACAATACCTAAATTGTATCGGAAAGTGTTTATGTTTGTTAGCGGTACCTTTTCATTACCTCTCTTCAACCGTTTAGGCCAACCCGTCGTTAAAGTCAGAGATGTCCCTTATCTTTCCCACTGTATACTATCAAAGCTGCCGGCTTCAGAGTAGCAACAATAAGAAATCAATCGTCAGCTTCTTTTACATCTTTATATAGGTTTTTTACACGAATTTGTTCCTAACATATGTGAGGAGAAATTGATTATGTTTCAGAAATCTGAAATCTAGAAAAAAAAAAAAGAACCTGGAAACTAATCAATCTTAACTTACTTTTGACCGATGACAAGGTAAAGTATAATTTTCAGAGTTCCATTATCTTAGGTTTCTCCATTATCTTACCAATCATACGAGCGTAAAATAGTTGAAAATTGCTATTAAAAGAATTAGCAAATATAAAAAGTTAATCATGGATTTAAGATTGAGCTCTTTTCACAAGTTAAGGAAGAAGGTATTAACATTTATTGAGGTTAATGATGAAGGGTTAATGTGGTTTGATGGACTTTTAAGATTGACTTTGGAGAAGAAAGATTGGCAGAAGAAATAAATCGATCCTCAGCTATTTCTGCAGATTTACGGATGTATATATAGTTTGTCATATGCATTTCCACGTCATCACTCATGTTGGTATTCTCTGATTTTTTTACATACGTTTAAATATGAAATATGGTCAACCACTAATCTAAAATATTACACAAAAATTACTAAATACAAAAATAAATGTGACAAAAAATACGTTAATAGATTAAAAACATAGTTACATAGAAATCAAGAAACATAGTAAACCAACCAAATAACTACGGTGTAAAATACATTCACATGAGACATAACATATAGCTTCAAATGGATAATAAGTCAAACTTAACCTAAATAAATAAATTTGTTTCCGTACCCTATCACTTCTTCATCAGTCACCTCAAATCGCCTACAATTAAGTTCCAAAATCCACATGCAATTAACTCCTACATTAATGAAAATTACAAGAATTATCACTAACACAACAACCATAACCAGAACAAACAAAAGAAAATCTAAAAGTTATAAATGGTTACCTTTTTTGCCACATGTTATTCGTCTTCTTCACTAAACACTCATATCCAACCAAGACAATCATACGACTGTAAAACTATAGAAGTATACCTAAAATAAAATCTATAATTAATCCATTATAGTAAATTTACAATTCAAAAATCAGCAACAAGCAAATAAAGACCAATTAACGTTGGAAATTTAGAAACAGAAACCTCCACTTTCTACTAGATACTATTGAAGATATAGTATAATAATATACTATGCAACCTTCCATAATGCATACATGATATATCATAATGAACAACAAAAAGAAAGAATATTCAATAACTATAAAACACATTAAACGTTTGCTAGAAACCCGTATCGACCACCAAAATATACCAACTCTCAGCAACATCATACGAATCATCTAAAAGAAGAAACATACATGATGTAAAAGCTTATTCATAGATAGAGATAATTACAAGATTATAAATAATTTCGGACTCATTAAAGAATAAAACATATGAACCCGGCGGGTAGCACCAGAATATCATTAGTCTCATAAATAAAGTATTGGTTTAATAACCTATCTGATAATTATTTTACTGATTGTGTTTCAGTATGTGTATTTAGATTTCTTTAAATTTAGACAAGGACGACGATGAGCGACAATATTCTTGGTAGAAGCCCACGTGTTTGATAATTTTTCTGTCTTATTGGTTAGTGGTTACTCGAGAAATAAATAAAAACATAACCAGTAACCAAATATTATACAACAATATGATTATGTCGTGACCCGTATGGTACATTGCTAACACAAATACATTTAAACTTAGACAAGGTGATTATGTCGTAACCAGTCACACAAATTCATTGTATCTACTGTATTTGTATTTTTTTGAAAAAAAAAAATAAGTTTTTAAGATCAGAAGTATATATAATGTTTTTAAAGAAAATGAATTTATATAAAACATAACATTTTTATTTTCTTAAAAACCTTTAAATAATTTTAGTAAAATAAAAACTTAATATAAGATAACTTTGACACTCGCTTGTTTGGTTAGTATTCTCAAAATCTTAATTCTTTATTAATAAAGTTCACTTTTTTTTTCTCTCCTTGGGGGGAAAAATGACACCTAACAAATAGGTGGTGGGCTTCTTGTGGAATGTTTGAGCTTAATTTATGTAACACGATTTTAGGCCCTTTTGGTTCCTTCTTTAGATTCTTTGTCAATTGTTTCACTCTTTCGACGCCGCTGCGTTTTACTAGGGTTACTCAGTAACTCTGCTTCGTTGGTCGACGTTACGAGATTTCCCATTTGATCTCCTTTAATCCAAATTAAGTTGTGCTTCCACTTCCTCTCCTCATTCAATTCGACTCTTTCGCTTCCAAGATCGGATGTTTTGTGGTTCATGTATAAATAACCCCTCCTACAAATGTTAAATTCACATCTTCAGCGATAAGAAAAAAAAAATTGTCTCTTCATTTCCCTAAGATTACAATGGCTCATTCGAGTATATTACTTGCCGATCTGAAATCCGGCAGATGCACCAACACGAAGGAGGTCCGGTTGCTCAATCAACATTCTTGTTTCTTAAATCTATTTGCTCGATTTTAAAATCATATGATTTATTAAGATTTGGATATCCTTGATTTTCGTAAAAAACTATTTTCATTTTGAAATCAATATCCTTGATTCTTAAATCTATTTGCTCAATTTGAAATCATATGATTTATCAAATATTTTTAAATCCAAATTGTTTTCTAAATCCATTAAAATAGTGGAATCAATAACCCCCACCAAATGTTATCACATGTTTACTATAATTATTCAAGAATCAAATTTGTATTAATTATCAAAATGTCATGCAAACATATGTAATACGTGTAAGCTTACAAAAAGTTTAGTATATAATTTTTTTAAAAAACTATCAAGTATTATAGATTCAGTGTAGTAACATTATTGTAGTTATGAATGATTATATTACAAAATTTAATATACACTACTTTAATATACGATTGTTGGCAAAAATAAATATATAATTATTTTTTCAAAAAAAATTAAAATTAAAAAAAAAAACTAATAAATATAAATATAGAAATTTGAATTATCAGGTATGATATTTTATAGCTTTTTGTTCAGTAAATTGGAGAAAAATATTACTCGCTTCAACATCAAAAACAAAATTTTATTAAAAAATACTATAACAGACATTGTCAGAAGTTTGAAGAATAAAACAATTACCTATACAAAGACATTATTAAATACATCAATTTGTCAAAAAGTAGTTCATCAAACAATAATCAAGCAATCCCATATAGGCATTACAGTTTTTGATCAAATATCATGTAAATTTATTTAAATTCATAGCATAATTAAAACAGAAACATATATCATCTGTTGTCAATATTAGTTCGTTTACAATTTAATAATTTAAACTTCATTTTATGATTTATATTTTTTAAAACCGATATATATAGGTATTATATATTCAAAATTAATATAATAAATTAAATTAAACTAAAATTTATATAAGAAAACTCGGGCGTAGCCCGGGAAAACCACTAATATATATATATATATATATACTATGATTAAAGTTACAAAGTGGAATGTTCTATGATTAAAGTTACAAAATGGAATGTTCTATGATTAAAGTTACAAAATGGAAAGTTCTTTCAAGATTTCAAGATTACCATCTCATGGATATATAGATGCATATCACATTGTTGGGTCTCTCAAATACACAACCAAAACATTGAAGACTCGACCCAAACTTAGCCAAACCCACTCGATGCCTCAAACAGAATATTTGAGAGTCAAAAGAGTTTCTTTCTTGCCCTCTTGATGACAGAGAAGTTCTGAAGATTTGTTTTACCATAAATCTCCATATATATTTTATTGGACTGGTTTTAAGAAGTTGGTCGTAAAAACTAACCAATACGGAATTATAGATCTCGCATGAGAAAAGATGAAATTT